GTTGGCATTTAGAGAGCACTGAGGGCGGGCATCAAGTGAGCAAGCTAGTGAAACGTTGCACGTGCAAAAGAGAAGGTCTGCACACATCCAAAAACGTATTTTAAATGCAAAATTGATTTCCGTGCGCTCGAAAGACTTTTTTCTTTGCGAAACGAACATTTTCTCCACAAACTCAGATCGCGCGTGTGCAAAATGCACTTTTGTGCGCTCAAAATATGATCTTTCGCGCGCAGAATTGTGGCAGAAATGTAAGCCCGTATGAGGGCTGTGTTAGGAGGAATGTGAGTGCGCAGACGTCAGCCAGTGAGCTGTGAACTGCTTTCAGCTCCTCCCTTCATGTTTTCAGCATGTTGAGACACAATGACCTGAAAATTACTTAAACACAGATTTGGTGTGAAGACTCACAGTTGTTTTGGAGAGCTCTCTGACTATGGCTTTAGTGGAAACGCTTCTCATGCATGTGTCCTCCACAGGAGCTTTGCTCGCTGCTGTGCTGTTGTTTTTGGTTGTTTATCTCTTCTCCAACAGCTCCAGCTCTCCAGAAGATCCTCCAGGACCCAAACCACTGCCACTGCTGGGGAACCTGCTCCTATTAGACCTCAGACAACTTCATGTGAGCCTCTGCAAAGTGAGTTTCTGTTTCTTGACTTGTTTTTGCTTCACCAATATATCATAGATTAAAAAAAAATTCCTAGAGTTCCTATTGTCATAATATGTTATGGATCCTAAGTGGCAGCATTGTTCTTACAGATTCCAACATGACACAAAACAAAAACTAGATGTTGGAAGTTCAGGATCACATTTGATTTTAAAAGGATTCCCATTTGATCCTGTCAGGCCCCATTTCTTTACTGCTTTCCAGAGGTTTTCTACTTCTTGTCTTTACTTTCTGTGGTTTCAGGCAAAACATTCAGGTTTTTGGTGCAACCTGATAGTTGAGTGCAACAAATACTAAATGTCAACCATCACAAGTTGGATAAATGTTTTCATATAATCATATATTTGAAAGCTCACCTTTTCTGTCATATATTTGACCACTGTTGCTGTAGACCAAAATAAGTTTGCATTTGAAGAGCTAAGAAACGTTCTGTCACCTATTTTAAGTTCCACTTTCCAAGTTCTTTGCTTATTCTCATATGAATTGCTACTAGTGACAGATCAGTGCATGAGTATGTTGTGTGAATTTGTTTCACAGTTGTCCAAGAAATACGGGTCAGTGTTCACAGTGCATTTTGGACCCAAGAAGGTTGTGGTTTTGGCAGGATACAAGACAGTTAAACAAGCACTTGTGAACCAGGCGGAGGAATTCGGGGAAAGAGACATTACCCCCATATTCCAGGATTTCAATCATGGACTCGGTAAAACATCAGCTTGACACAGCATGATGTGCACTAATGCATCACTGCTGAAGCTTGAGCTTAATCATTGAAATCATTGACATTGAGTTTTTGACAACTTTTCCATTGTGGCTCAGTTGTTCTATTCTTGTTAATGGATAAGTAAATGTTTAATATAAAACAATTAGAAGAATATGAAGTAGTTCTGTTGGAGTAGATCAGTCATCCTCTCTGGTGAGTTACGAATACAAACCATGTTTCTCCACAGGAATCGTCTTTGCTAATGGCGACGGCTGGAAGGCGATGAGAAGATTCGCTCTTTCAGCTCTTCGAGACTTTGGAATGGGCAAGAAGCTGAGCGAGGAGAAAATAGTGGATGAGACACGTTACCTGCGGGAGGTGTTTGAGAAGTTTCAAGGTAGAACAACTGCCTGCGTGAATGACAAATGTTTCTAAATTTGATATTTCTTATAGAGTGATATTGTTTTCTAAATATCACTCTATATTTCTTCTCGGTTTGCATATGTATTGCAGGAAAACCATTTGACACGACACAACCGGTGAATTATGCCGTCTCCAACATTATCTCAGCTATTGTTTATGGGAAACGATTTGAATATGAGGACCCAAAGTTTCAGGATATGGTGGACAAGGCAAACAAGAACATCCGCATGCTTGGTTCTGCTGTGATACAGGTACTCGCCAGTGTTTTTGGTGCAGTTCCATGCAGTTTTATTTTAGTATCATTGATCTATTCTATAATCTTAAAAATAAAAGTTTAAAAAAAATTTATTTTAATTTTTTTGCAACAATACCATATAAATTAAGAACCATTTTTGCTTCCCCAAAGAACCTTTCAGTGAACAGTTCTTAAAAAAATGTTGTTTTTTCTTAGTGTGAAGAATATTTTAATAATCTGAAGAACCTTTTTCCACTATAAAGGTTCTATAAAGAACCTTTTTCCACTTTTGTGCAATGGAAAGATTGCATGGGTGTTAAAGGTTCTTCATGGAAACTTAAATGTCAATAAAGAACCTTTATTTTTTATCAGTGTAAGTCTATATAGTTTTTATTAAGTTTGATTTCAGATTTAGCTTTAGTTATTTTAGTACTTCAAGGTAAATTAAATGAAAATTAGAAAGTTTTAGTTTTAGTGAACGACAATAACCCTGTTTCATGGCTGTGTAGACTAGTTGTGGATCACGTGACTTCAGTTGCTCTTGTTTTGTAAGGTGACAGCATGGATTTATATGGTAAACTGAAACGGCTCCTCACATTTGGAATTGAAAGAATGAAAAACTAATGGGAAACCGGAGCACTTTGCTTAAAGGCAACGTGTGCCTTGTTTTCTGTGCATTCGTATTCTCCTATTACATTTTAATTTTAACAGTTCTTAAAGGTGCCATAGAATGCATTGATACAATATTTTAAATGGTTCTCTGATATCTACATAGAAGGTATGTGGCTTAGGTAAGGGCAAAAAAATCTCCAGAAACGGTTTTACATGTCCATTTACAACCCTAGGATTTGTCCCTAGAATGAAATAGTCTGTTTTTACCTTATTTGGAAGGGTCATGAATAATAATATTGAGCTCTGCTCTGATTGGCTGTTTCACAGTGCGGCTCATTTCAGTAGCTCACACAGCAGGAAGGAAACACAGGGAAAATATATATTTTTAATACTGTCTCTTGCGTTGGGTAATTATACTGTATATAAAATACGGGCATCAGGGATCTTTTGCATTCTCGAGATTTACATAAAAAGGAGGAAACAATGGTGTTTGAGGCTCACGGTATGTCATTTCCATGTACAGAACTGTTATTATTCAACTATGCCAAGGTAAATACAGTTTTCCATTCTATGGCACCTTTAAAATAACCATTTTTTTTTCAGATAAAGAATGTTTTTTCACTGAAGGCCCTTTTGTGGATGTTAAAAGTTCTTGAAACCATAGATGCCAATAAAGAACCTTCATTTTTAAGAGTAATACACAAGCAATTCATGAATCGAATACCGTGGTTCTGTGGTGCACTTTAAAACACTGCCAGTGAAAAAGGCAATCATATGGATCCAGTCAGATTTGAAAATATGAGAAAATGACCAAAAATGCTCTATACAGTTCAGTCACATGCTCAGGTGCTGTTAAAATAGATTTGGCTCTGGCCTGAAACTCTATTTCCTTATGTCAGACGAACAGCTGCTGTGTGTGTCTCTACCTGCAGATTTACAACATGTGTCCGTTTCTTGGTCCCTGGATGAAGACGTGGAGACTGCTGATGGAAAATGTGGAAAGCTTCAGAAGAGAAATAAAGGAGCTGGTGAACGTCTTACAGGAGACTTTGAATCCGCTTGACAGCAGAGGATTCATCGACTCCTTCCTCATTCACAAACAAAGCATACAAGTAAAGTATTACAGGAAATGTATGCTTCATTTTTGGCCAGCAATAGCTTAAACTTTCACCGCTGGTGTTTGGTTTTCATTATTGAATTAACTATTCATTTATATGCACGTTTCGTGGTACTGGATCTTTTAGCCTCATCCTGAGGATGAAGTGTGTGTTTGTGCTTCATGCAGGAATCTGGAGAAAAAGAGTCACATTTCCACGAGCAGAATCTGCTCATTACGGTGTCAAACCTCTTTTCTGCTGGTACAGACACGACTGGCACGACGCTGCGCTGGGGTCTGATGCTCATGGCCAAATACCCTCATATACAAGGTCAGACGTCCAAACTGAGGGAGGAAAATACACAGTTCTCATCAACACTTTCAGATTTGTCTTAAATCATAATGAGAGATCTCACTGATATTAACACTCTGTGTGCTTTATATGTTCTCTCACTGGTCATAGATCGGGTTCAGGAGGAGACTGACCAGGTACTTGCTGGCCGTGAACCTGTTTCAGAGGATAGAAAGAACTTGCCATATACAAACGCTGTAATCCATGAAGTTCAGAGACTGGCTAATATTGTACCCATGAATCTCCCTCATATGACCAGCTGTGACGTTATCTTCAATGGATACTTCATCAAGAAGGTTAGTCTTTCTTATGTGATATATTATTTTTCTTTACAACACATTGCTAAGTTAAACCCATCTGCCGGAGTTTTTAAAAAATAATTTCTAGATCATTTTTAAGGCTCAATCTGCTCAGGTTTGTGTTCTTTACTTACTTATTTTTGTCCAGTATACTTCCCAAGAGACCACACATGCAGTTAGGTTATATTGCACTACAGCATTTTAAAAACATTGTAGAAACCACATCTAAAATAATAATAAAAAAATAACATTGTTACCAAAACATGATGTACAGCTTGTTTATTTGAATTACAAAAATGATCAGTATCAACCTGCAAATTTGAGAAAATGTACATAAATTTTTTTTTAATATATACAGTATAATTTTATACAACAATTTCAATTGTTCAAACAATTCTGTGTGAAAATCACTTCTAGGTCAGTTTTGTTTAGGTTGCCTCAAAATATAACCCAGATTTATATAGTTAACTAAAACTGAAACTTGATGAAAACAGAAAATATAAAAGTAAAGACATTAAAAATATTAATAACAACTATAATAGTATCTCAATGATACTAAAATAGCACCGATTTCTTTTTACATTTTATTTAAGGTTTTTGAGGTGTTTTGTCATTTAGATTTTTTTATTTGCCTTTTTAAAATATGTCTATATAATATTTATTCATTTTTAGTTCAGTTTTAATTAAATTTTTTTAGTACTTCAACTTCCCTAAATGAAGATTAGAAATGTTGAAAAAAAAAAATATTTTTTTTATTAAATAATGAATGTTTTTTTTAATCACTTCTGAAATCTAGGGGACGTGTGTTCTACCGCTGCTGACGTCTGTGTTGAGGGATGAGAATGAGTGGAAGACACCAAACACCTTCAACCCTCAACACTTTCTAGATGAGAAGGGTCAGCTGAAGAAACGAGACGCCTTCATGCCCTTCTCTGCCGGTATCATGTTTGAACTTTGACATTAGACCTGAACCTGATGCGAATGGCTTGATTGTGTTTGAGTATTTTTGATGACATATTTTTGATTTGTCCTGATCCCAATGTGTTACTGTTCAAAAGCAGTCATTGCAAATGTTATTTCTTTTATTCTCTTTCAGGCCGCAGGGCTTGTCTTGGAGAGAGTTTGGCCAGGATGGAGCTCTTTCTGTTCTTCACCTCCCTCCTTCAGCATTTCCGCTTCACTCCTCCTCCAGGAGTGTCTGAAGATGAGCTGGATCTCACACCAGTCGTGGGTCTGACTTTGAACCCTTCACCCCACAAACTGTGTGCAATCAGTAGAGCCGAACGACAACTAAACTGATCCATCAATCAACTGGGAAAAGTTCAGGTTTAATAAATATTACTTAAGCTATCCAAAAACCCAGTGCAATTATTCTAGTTTGTATTTTTACATGAACAATGTACTTTTCTAGCTATAGTGAGCTTAAAACCATGCCATATATAAAATAAGAAGTGAAGTGTGTCTGATTAAAGCACTTTTGTGAGTTACTGCACCATTTTGGCAGCAAAAGCTTTTTAATTGATGTCAGTGTTTTCTGGCTAAGTACAAATTATTTTGTAAAAGTGTGAAATGACCATATATATATATATACAGTATATATATATTCATATATATATATATATAGTCGGCTGAAGTCAAAACAAGTTGGCTTGTGGGATCAAAACATTCACTGAAGTTCAAGAGTGGACTTTTGGGTGTTTAGAATTAAAATGAGAAAGAACTTCATAAAAATAACTTTTCAAATTTTGGATTTTAAAAGTTAATGCAAAATCTTCCATTTTGCTTTTTTAATATCATCATTTAAATCAGTGAGAAAGTTTGAGCCCTTTGCAAATCCAAGTGAAACATGTTCAACAGAGAGGACAAGAAAAAGCATTTAACATTGTTCTGTTTAATCAAGTTTAACTGCATTAAATAAACATTTCATGTTCAAAAACAAGCACAGAAACACCACAGAATGACCGAAAGATTGAAGTCATTTGAAAAGCAAAAGCTAAACTAATTTCCAAGAGGCTCACGTGAGGTTGTCTGATGTCCAGCAGATGCAGGTTCCCCAGCAGTGGCAGTGGCTTGGGTGCTGGAAGACACATGCATGAGAAGCGTCTCCACTAAAGCCATAGTTAGAGAGCTCTCCACAACCTCAAGCAGAACAGATCTGAACAAGTGCTCAACTCTATCACTTTATATAGATTATAATAGTATTTTCTTTGGCGCCAGCCCTGAAAAAAGTAATGACATGACAACATTATTGTCAATTATTTATACCTGAATAACAACACTGAAAATACTAATAGTCACTGGATAGAAAAAAAGTGAAGAGTTAGAGAGCTTTGCGTTTAAGTCTCATCATGACAGTCGATCATTGTAACACTTTTATGGACATTATTGTTCTTATATGGTGTGGACTGTGCTGCGCTGCAACATAATCTTGCCACGTTGTGTCTATCTATCTTGTTGACTAACATTAATAGGAAACTTTAGAACTAAATGTACCATACAACAAGCATGACATTTCTCTCAATTTTGTATAAGCCTGGAAGAAATTGAGGCTAAATCATTTGGTGTCTCTCAGTAATTTTAAAACACTGATGCATGCACTAGAAAATGATTTAGTGATTTGCAAATGCTTCTAAGGCTGTATTTTTTAATGATATTTTATTGTGTGTAGTTTTGTTGTTTATGTGTATTTGTATAACTGGGCCGCCTATCTTGGCCAGGACACTTCTGTAAAATATATTTTTAATCTCAGTGAGGATCTCTCCTGGTTAGTAAAGACTTGATAATTACTGGTAATAAATACCTTGTTTTTGACTAAAGTTCATCCTTGATTTTTTTACCTCTTGGCTCCATCTGCTACTTTCCAAAGTATTTAAGAACAAGACTATACAACCTACGGCAAACCGGAATTCATGATTGATCTGAGATATATTGTGATGATCTCTCTGACTATGGCTTTAGTGCAGCCACTTTTCATGCATGTGTCCATCACAGGAGCTTTATTTGCTACTGTGCTGCTGTTTTTGGTTATTTACCTGTTCTCCATCAGCTCCAGCTCTCAGGATGTGGGAAAATATCCCCCGGGACTCAAACCGTTGCCACTGCTGGGAAACCTGCACATGCTCAACCTCAAGAAAACCTACATGAGCCTTTGGGAGGTGAGCTATTGAGCAAAAAATCGGAAGATTTGAGATGTAGCAGGGAATTTCACTACAATGTAGGGGTGAGTTTAACTTCTGCTACAATATGTGAGCACGAAAACACATTTTCCTGGAAGCAGACTTCCCATGCACTCTATATCTGCCTGTAGACATCCAAGAACAGGAATGTCTATTCCATTTGCAGCAGTGAGGCGCACACAGTTAGCGGACGACAGCTAAATCTTAAACGTCCAAAAATAAACTATGAAAAATAGAAGGAAAAATATTGTCAAAAGAAGAGCTTCAATGTGTTCGCAATGCCGTTTGTGTCCACACGGCGGCACTATTGTATCAAAAACGACACACGAGGATTTTGTCTCTAACAACAGTAGCAAAATCACTCGGTCCAAGCTGCTTTGCTTCAAAAACAACAAATAACGTCAGTGTATTTCTTCAGAATATCATATTTCTACGAACATTTCCGGTAGACGAGACAGTCCCTTAAAAAAAAACCCGTAATTCGGATTCATTCACTAAAGCAAACTCAGTTATCAGTTCTCAAGTCCATCCAAAAAGAATTTCAAAGTCTCTAAGTGAAAATACTGCAAAACGTCCAAAAATAAACTATGAAAAATAGAAGGAAAAATATTGTTAAAAGAAGAGCTTCAATGTGTTCGCAATGCCGTTTGTGTCCACACGGCGGCACTATTGTATCAAAAACGACACACGAGGATTTTGTCTCGAACAACAGTAGCAAAATCACTCGATCCAAGCTGCTTTGCTTCAAAAACAACAAATAACGTCCGTGTATTTCTTCAGAATATCAACTGTGGTTAAACAGCAGTGAAGAAAAACTCACAGTATCTCGGCTCCCTTCCGTAGAAGACGAACACTCGTGCTAACACACCTTCTCAGCTAGCACGATGAGCAATGCCCCTCCTGGTATATCACAGACACGCAGTTCAGTTTCTCGGCGATCAGGCTCCCTCAAAACTCACGACAGCACAAGCTCGATCCAGCTTCTCGGCAGCTCACGTCGACGCTTGTCTAATGCTGTTCACATCTAATCAAAGAAGTCACAAAGAAAACTAACTTTTTCTTTCTCGCGCTCGCCTCCCTCATTTCCTTCTTTTTTTTCGGAACACCCCGTCCTCTTCTTTTTTTTTAAAAACCCTTTCAAAATAAAGGTCCTTTATAAATAAACCTCCACATTCCCCCCTGCTAAACCCTGCCATATACAGGACTCTCCAAGATGACCAGCTCCTAAGTAAAAATCAGAAAACACAAGAACAGTTATCATTTGATTCCTTGACACAACATTTTCAACATTTGTTTAGACATTCTCTTGAAGCAATTAACACATTCTTAGACATTTTCATTACACTTGTATTGACACTTTAACCCCAAATTACATAATGTAATCATCCTTATATCTTACAGGCAATCTACCTTGTGTTTTTCTCTTTGAACGTCTAAGACTAGGTTCCACATTAGTGTCAGCTTCCGAAATGTCAGAATCTTCAGATTCCCCATCTTGTCCTCTTTCTACTCTCTCACTCTCAGCAATACTACCATCCTCACAAACCACTCCACCCTCGACTTCCCCAGGTAAGTATGTGTTTGGCAAGTGTGTGGAATATGGAATGTAGGCAATGTCATGCGAGTCAACATCTGTTTCTGACAACTCTTTTTCTCTTTCAGCACGTGTAACCTGTCTTGTGAGTGAAGGGAAGGTACAGTGTCTCAACTGATCCCTGTGAACTACTTTTGTGGGACCCCCTGGCTCAAGACGTACAGTAAACACTGGTAAACCGGCGTGATTCGGTTGCACTACCAAATACGGTACGGACTCCCACTTATCTTGGATTTTGTTTCGTCCTCTAATCTTGTGGTTACGCAACAATACTCTGTCACCAGCTCTAATGAGCGCTCCTGCAGCCTTGCGATCATAGACTCTCATTTGCAGCAGTGAGGCGCACCCAGTTAGCGGACAACAGCTGAATCTCTTGCCCTCCGAAATGCTGTTTAAAGTGAGACTCTGAGATGGTGGTGACCTCTGAACCTGTGTCCAGCAGGCACTTAGTGGGCACCCCTGCTATTTTTACGTCCACTGTCAGACAGTCTCCAAAAGCGCTCTCCTTAAGAGTTCTTGGCACTACATCAACCTTCCAGTCAGCTTTATGGCTCCGGATTACTGAAGGCCCATTGGTGCTTGCCAAGTCACTCGACGAAGCTCCTCTTACCGCCTCAGTCACTTCCGCCATTTGTGATGATGCAGCACCCCTGTTACTCAGCTCCTTATGCTGTCCGCAATGTCGACTGGTGTGACCTGGTTCATCGATCATAGACTCTCTTCCTTCTCCTGGAAGCTTCTTGGGCGGTTGTTTTTGCAGTCTCCACTGCAGTTCTCAGTTGTTCATGGTGATTCTTCACCCACTCATCCAAATCATCCGCTTCATCGTCAGTCAGATCCATCCCTCCTAAGACATCCATGGGCAGCCTTGCATCCCGCCCAAACATTAGATAAAACGGGGAGTAACCCGTTGACGAATGAACATGACTATTGTTAGCCATCACCAGTTCAGGCAAGTAAGTCTTCCAATCCTTTTTCTTTTCAGCAGGTAACGTCCACAGCATGTCGTGCATTGTACGGTTGAATCTTTTGCACTGTGCGTTCCCTTGAGGGTGGTAAGGACTGGTGCGACTCTTGCTGATTCCATACAGCTTACAGAGCTCCTTGATTACGCTTGCTTCAAAACACCTCCCTTGATCCGAGTGCAGCCGGGCGGGACATCCATAGCAGACAAACCTGGGTACCTTATCCCCATATGTTTCCTGTAGCAGTTTGAAGATGGACTCCTCACTGTTATCCCCCTCTTCCAGCATGAACTTCACGGTATCTTTAGCTTCTCCCTTTAAGTGCTGTTTAATCAGCTCCACTTGATCCTCATCTGGCACTTTCATGACACGGAATGCTGATTTCATGGAAAGAATCCACTCTTCCACACCTCCTTCTCCAGGCTTGGTGGTACCAGTGAAGTCAGTGAGTTTGTGATCCCTTGGGATGTAAATCGTTTCAGGTTTAACTTCTGCTACAATATATCTTGGACGACTAGGGAAATGACAAGATCTAGGTCTTCAACCCCTAGTACATTTAATTCCTGTACTTATTTAAGTATGTTTTTATCTGTCTTGCTAAGTATGCTTTTGTCTTTAGTAGCAGCGACTGATGAATGATCCGAGTGCAGCCGGGCGGGACATCCATAGCAGACAAACCAGTATCATACAAGAGCTTTGACGGTAGTCTGTGCTGTCTGATTTTTAGTCCGGACTGCCACTGTAAATCTTGTGAACATGTCCGTAAGCACTAGAACATTCTCATAGCCTCCTGCTGATCTCTCAAGTACAGTGTAATCCATGGCAAGCACATCTAGAGGTGCGGTTACGTTGGTGCAGGTCATAGGAGCACAAATCTTGGGGAACACATCCTTCGCTAAGGTACACCTCCGACACTGGGTTACCCACGCCTGCACGTCATTAGCCATTGAGGGCCAATAATAACTCCGTCGCATCTGCTCTAAAATGGCGTTGATTAACCCCTCTTCCCCTCTATCAGCCCACAAGACAGTAGGAATGCCCCTACTCCAGGATAACAGAAGTTTTACACTTATTTCCTTAATGCTTAGTAAAGAATAAACAAAATAAAGAAAACAATAGTCATGAAATGAACTGTTTCACTTCTCTTATGATTTCTTATGATTTCACCAAGAAATGTACAAAACATAAATTAAGTTTTGTTCAGATTCAAACTTTTGTTCGGTTTCTTTTCTTTCAACAATAATACTAGAACAAAAATAGAAAAACAACAACAGTTCCGATAGAACGCTCAAATGGTACTCGGTTCACTCAAAAGTACATTACAGATGTTTCATTCCACATCAGATATCTTTCATGTCAGTTCACATTCCTGAGTGAGATTCACAATCCCAGAGTTAAAGTTTTACCTCACAGTAGAACTGGGCTGGAGTTGGAGTGTCCAGATATGGCAGGGTAATTAGATCAAACAAATAGCCACCTGTTCAAAATCAGAAAGTCTCTTCCTTTTCTTTAAACACAGGAAAAATAATGTTCAGGAATAAATAATAAGGGAAAAAATATATTTCTACGAACATTTCCGGTAGAACTCCGTCGCATCTGTTCTAATGTAGTCCTACTTCCAAAATGTCCTCCATGTTCGTGCACTCCCTCATACACTTTCTCCCGTAAAGACTCTGGCACTACCAACTGCCAAATCTCCTCTCCATCTCTTGGATCCATAATCACTCGGAACAGCACTTGATGCCTTAGTTTCAGACGCTCAAGCTGTCTTGCTAACTTCTTTTGCTGGGTTTCCATACCCCGGAAACTATGTGTCAGTAACCTCCTGTTCTTGAGCACAGCGTCGTACACAGGTGCTATACAAGGATCCTTCCTCTGTTGCTCTTTGATGGATGACCAGTTATAACCATCAACACCCCTTGTAAACATGTCTGTAAGCACTAGAACATTCTCATAGCCTCCTGCTGATCTCTCAAGTACAGTGTAATCCATGGCAAGCACATCTAGAGGTGCGGTTACGTTGGTGCAGGTCATAGGAGCACAAATCTTGGGGAACACATCCTTCGCTAAGGTACACCTCCGACACTGGGTTACCCACGCCTGCACATCATTAGCCATTGAGGGCCAATAATAACTCCGTCGCATCTGCTCTAATGTAGTCCTACTTCCAAAATGTCCTCCATGTTCGTGCACTCCCTCATACACTTTCTCCCGTAAAGACTCTGGCACTACCAACTGCCAAATCTCCTCTCCATCTCTTGGATCCATAATCACTCGGAACAGCACTTGATGCCTTAGTTTCAGACGTTCAAGCTGTCTTGCTAACTTCTTTTGCTGGGTTTCCATACCCCGGAAACTATGTGTCAGTAACCTCCTGTTCTCGAGCACAGCGTCGTACACAGGTGCTATACAAGGATCCT